GTGGAGGCCTTGGAGGGCCCTGGTGGGTGCAGCAGCGACCAATGACCCCTCAGAGTGAGGGCGTAGCGGCTCACATCAGCCAGGAGGGGGCACTTGTGTTTGTGGGTGGCCAGTTCTGCCCCTTAAGGTCCCTTAATTTCGTGTGGTAGTCGGCGGCTTAGGGCTGACTTTTCCTATCATTATTCCACTTCCTTTGCATAACGACTTAGGAGGTAGTATGTTACTCTGATTCCACACAGACTAGAAAGCCTTGGGCCCTGTGTCTTCCGGGGAGAGTTGTTTCGGCCGCCCCTTTTCCTGTGCCCCGTGACCCCGGCTGCCCGAGGGCCCGTCAGGTCCTCTGAGCCGCAGCTGTGACGGGGCATTGGCGCGGGCCCACCATTAGCACCCCGCGCCCGCAGGTGCCCTGCGCTTTGACCTGTGAGTTGACTGATTCCCTCGTCAACGTGGCAGGAGGACTGGAGAGATCCTGTCTGCAAGCAAACAGCAGGAGGGCCGGTGCCAGGGTCGAGCACAGGCCGCGGTGTTTCTCAGGCGCGGTGTCAGCAGCGCAGATGCCGTCTCCAAGAGCCATGCGGCGCTGTGCGCTCCAGGGCTGTGCGCGGGATTTGGGGTGCTTTTCTGTGATCAGCCGCAGGTGCCTTAGGCCCTGGGCCAGACCGCTGGTGTTTGTTTCTGTGCAGGGCACGCAGGGTGCTCGTTCCTCTGGGTGAGGCTTCATTGCGAAACAGGAAATTTGTTCTGTGCGTGGAAGAGCTCCCTCCCACTCTGGGGTGAGGGGGTGTGACCTTCAGGTGCAAGGGTATGACCTTGAGTCGCAGGGAGACTTGGGCCTGCTGCATGTGCTCATGGAATGGGGACAGGGAACGTCAGGAGGGCTGGCTGGGATGGGGCGGGCCCTCAGTCCAGCCCCAGCAGGTCGGTGCGAGGTCGCAGGCAGGTGGCTGGTCCTGCCAGCTCAGTAAGCATCTCATTTTTTACAGATTCGGGTTTCCACGGGGTTGCGCAATTCCTCCTTCCCAGAGAACTCTGTCTTCTGGAAATAAATTTCCTCCTAAATATTTTCATAACCTCATTTAAGAAGCGAGCTGTTTGCATAGCCCCTGTTAGGATAGTGACGTTCACTCTCTTCTCTCGTGTTACTTACGTCCGTGTCCCGATTTCCTGCCGTCTTTGATGTTGAAACTCGTTTCTGCCTCCTCATGTGAAGTCTTAGATCTTGGCAGGATTTTCCATCTGCTACCTCTGCCTGGCCAAGTCCATTTCCTCTGGATTTTCATGTATTTTTGTTTTCTAATGCTCTTAATCTCTCCTGTACTTGTTAAAATTTTAAAAGAGGTGATAGAAATAGAAGATGATTTATGAGGGTTATTTTTTTTTTAAGTCAGCATATTCAGACGTTGTATCTGATGTTTTGACTGTTTCTCTCCACCTGTTTACTGACGTCTGTCCAGCTTTCCAGTGTCTGTACGTCTGGCAGCCTCTCTTTCCGCCTGTGATCGGACCGGGGCAGCTGCTCCCTGCGAGGACCCTGCTTTCTCTGCTTTTTCCTGCCTCCACCTTTTAGGGGGCTCTAACCCCAGCAACTCCGTCTCAGAGAGACACGGCAGATTTCAGTAACGGCTCTTTGGCCCAGTGTTTTTCAAATGAGGGCTTGTGACCCATTATTAGTGTGTGAAGCCAGTGTCAGGAGTCAGGCACATGTGAAAAACATAGAATATATTTGCTCACACATAGTGACGGCGAAACCTTCCTGTTAGCTGTGCGTGTGTGTGCGCGTTGTGACATCTGGAATGTGACATAAAATGCATGTCATAGCCAAAGTGTGTGAAAGTCCCTGCTGTTCTGTAACGTACTCCTAAGCTTTTATGAAGAAAAACCATTTATAACCTGTTTCCAGTCATTGGTTTTGTGCCTTGGAAAATTGTCTCAAGGCAAAAGCGGAGCCCAGGAGAATCCTGCGAAGACATCCCTGCGTCCGAGGGAAGGATCGCTGGGTGGGGCGTACCTCTCTGTCGGTCCCTGCAGTCTTTAGAAGCTGAAGAAAGATGGCGTTTCTGCAAAGTCGCAAAGGCTTCTCCTACTCATTGTTCAGATCTCAGCTCGAATATGCCTTCCTCCAGGAAGCCCTCCTCGATTCCCCCACCCCCACTTAGATCAGCTTCACCTGTCAGATGCTTCCATGGACCCACACTTCTCACCAGCGGAGCATTCAGCTCGTTTTTAATGATACATTTATTACTACGGTCATTATGTTATTGTCTGTCTTCCCCCACCCCCCGCCGTCCCAGAACAGGACCTCCACAGGGCAGGCATCAGGTCTGCTTTGCTCGTTGGACCTGCAGGAGCCACCGTTGATGCCTAGCGTGTAGTCAGCGCCCATCTACACCAATGGCTTGGGGCCAAGTCAGGGACGCTCCACGCTCCACAGCTAGTTGACACGGGGCGTCCATGGAACGCTCTGTGGTTCTCACGTCTTATTCCAAGAGGACGTTGGGGTGAGGGAGCACCGGGGGTGCGCAGGCGGGTGGGGGCCTAAGGCCCCGAGAGCGCAGCGGAGGCCCTGTAGTTCCGGCTCCTCCCGCGTGCAGACTCAGCAGCCGAGACGGAACCCTCTTCCCCTGCCCAGGCCTCCGGGGAGAAGCAGGTTGGGCGTATGCAGGATCCAAGCGAAGCATCTCCGGGGGGACAGCCTTCTCTCCGGCTGTGGATGGGGCTCCATCGCTCCGGGTTTCTCCCGGTGGTAGCGACAGTGTTCAGGCCATCACACAAGTTAGCTGGAAGCAGCTGCCTTGGATTCTGGGGTAGGCACGGGTGGCGCAGATTTTAGCGGAAGCTCCCGACTTGTGTTCGTCTGTGAGGGGCCGAGGGGCCGAGCTCACCTGGTGAGGAGGCAGGGCCACATGCGCATGAGCACAGGCGGGTGCCTTTCCCCTCCCTGTCCCTGACCACGTATGAGGGTGAAGGCAGGAAGGTGAGGAGAGGGGAGGCTCGGCAAGTATTTCCACAGTTGCCTTAGCGGGAAAAACATGTTTCCAAAAGCTGTTCTTGGAAACATTGTATTTTAGGTGGGAGGAAATGCTAATGCTCCGCTGGCTCCCACAGCCAGACATCTGTGGGGGGCACGGGCTCGCCCCGCAGCCAGGGAGCTGTGGAGTTTGGAACCGCTGTCTCATCTGAGAGGCTGGACCTCTGTGGCCCGAGTGTCATTCCCACGGCAACCTGCTGTGATGAGGTGGCGGGGGTGACCGGGCAGGACAGTTGTGACAGGAAGCCCATGAGCTTTCGGACAGAACTCTGCTCTGCAGCCCCAAGCAGGTCACGAGTCGCGGAGTCTCGGATTCCTGGTCTCTGACCTGGAGACAGGAGCCTGGCGTTCTTTCACTTGGGCGCAGAGGGACCACGCTGGGGACGCACGTGTGTCGGTGCACGCGCTAGTTTCATGCACCCAACGCGTGACATGCTGCTCACGAGCTGCCACCCCCACATTTGCCTGTGCCGGTCGCTGTCGGGAGCCCCGCCTTCAGCTCTCTGACCGGCACTTCCACAGTCTTCTGAGTTCAAAGGCTTTCTGGCTGGTTGCTGCGCAGTGACCTCCCTGCCACCCCAGGGCCCTTGCACGCAGTGCCCTGCGTGACACCCGGTGCTCATCCCAGTGGGCTCTCTGGCCACGCCTTCCCTTTGTCAGGTGTCTGCTCAAAGTCCCCCTGCTAGACAGGCCCCACCTCTCACAGAACAGCAACCCCCGAACTGCGCACCCCGTAACGCCTTACATTTCCTCCCACTTATGGCCACTTGGGGACAAGGCTGTTGTTACTGTTTTCCTTCCCCCGCCCCCTTTTGTTTGAGTTTGCTGTAACTATAGAACTAGCACATAGTAGGCCATTTAATCCTCATGAAAAACCTTTTTTGCTCTATTTATTTACTTATTTTTAGGAAATGTAATTTTAAAGAATGAGTAACTTGCCCAATGTCACAGGTAGCGAGTGGTTAACAAGGATTTAAATCCTGGATGGACACCAAGCCTTGGCTTTTCTCTTTGGCCTGAGCCCGTCTTCCCTCCGAATGGACCCTTCTTCTGTTTGGGCATCAGCGCCTTTGCTCGCCTCTCTGGCTCTGTCTCGGTAACCCCAGGCTCATCCAGGCTCACCCCACCCAGCAGCACAGATCCCAGCCTCCTGCCGGCACGGCTCCTACCCCAGGTCCTAGTGGAGCCTTCCGGGCCCCGGGCTGGGTCCGTGGAGAGCCTTGTGTGTGGCGTGTGGGAGCCACGCAGCTGATCTGACCAGCGGGTCGCGGCCGCTGTAGGCATGCGTGGGCCAGGCGCCCTTGACTCCAGAAGGGAACACGAGGAGTGTGTTCGGATGCGTGTGCTCAGATGCATGTGTGGTGTGTATCTTCTGATGTGTGTGCCAGGATGTTTGCGTGCTTGCACGCGTGTGTGCCAGGAATGACTGCACTCACTCCCTCGTGGACACAGATGTGGGAACAGCTGCAAGAAGCACATCCCTGGGGCAGGTCTCACCGGAGGGTGTTTGGATAGCTTATTGTTTGGGGGTTGTAATCATTTGTTTAAACATTTATTTTGTGCTACCTGATGTTATGTGATAGGATACCTTCTGTTTAGCTTGTACGTTATCTTTTTCATCGTATCTGAGATGTTTTTGGCATTACCACATTTCCAGAAAAGGCGAGACGAGCAGATAATGATCTCCTTTTATGCAAAATATACTCACAGATACTTTGATAGGTAGAGAATTTCGTTTACCGGACAAACATTGCGGTCCACGTCTTTATCTTTCATGTGATAGTGAACTGTAAGCATTTTGTACACAGGACACAGCTTGCTCGGGCTGCTTTCGGCTAATTTGTCGGTTGAACCTGTCAGAGCCAGCAGCCCTGCGTGCTAGTTCTCGACCTGACACTGTCGCTGGAGGGTGTGCGCCCAGTACCCGGGTCTCTTTCCCCTTGTCCCACACCCTCTGCTCTGCTCCTTTCAGGGAAAGTGCGATGGCGGGACTTTAACCAGGAAGCCTACGTCGGAGGGACCATGGTGCGCTCCGGGCAGGACCCCTACGCCCGCAACAAATTCAACCAAGTGGAGAGCGATAAGCTGCGGATGGACAGAGCCATACCTGACACCAGGCATGACCAGTAAGTGCTAAGCTGGGTGTTGGCCTAGGGCTGTACCTGTTCTTCCGCCGCCCAGGAAGTAGCTTGCACTGGGACACTAACATTTGTCTGTTACTCTGAAACTGAACATGTATCTTTATGGGGTGGTGAAACCAGGAAAAACTCCGAGGCGTATGGCGATGGAACCTCACCCACAGGAGCCAAGAGCCATGTGGGGCCGGGGTCTCTTCCTCAGATGCACCCGGTCCGTACCTGGAGGCTGGGTTGCTGGCCAGAGCATGGGAACCAGCAAGAGCAAGTCCTGCGACCGGCCTCATGTGTATTGATCCATCGCGTGTTATCTTTGAAGTCCACTCACCAAAAAGCCATGATTTTTCCATTCCTCACAGCCTTATTGGAAGGAAGAAAATGTAAATCCTTGCTTGTCGGGAAGCTCAAGTTGGAAAAGTGTCTAGAGACCAGAAGGGGAAGGCAAGAGCCCAGCAGGTAGATGCTGCGCTGAGCAGACAGCCAGAGGGCGGGGGGTGGGAGTAGCTCCCCAGCCCATGTGCTCGGGGGGCGCTTGTGTCTGCGTCTGTCTTTTGAGTCTTCGGGGATCTGGGACCTGTGGGTGGTGGGCACCGGCGTTTACAGGCTCTGTCCTGTATTTTGTCACCGCTAGTCAGGAACATGAGGTCTCCTCTGTACCTTAAGTCCTGCTGCGAAGGGTCTTGGATGGGGGGAGCAGTTCACCTGGGACCGTTAGTGGGTTGGCCTCGCATGTGGAGGCGGCCGTGTTCATGGGTGCTTAGTGGGACTTCCTGCTCAAGTTACTGTTAGAGCCACTCGCCCATCACGTGACAGAGCATGAGCCACATCAGCTGTGATGCAGAGGCTGCCTGTGCTCGGGTGCCGTGATTTCAGTCACAAAAATCGCATCCGCTCCAGCTGGTAGGGGGATGGGAAGAGAGGGCAGGCGGCACCCTGGGTCCAGGGCGGTCTGCCCCAAACCAGGAGTGTGGGAGGGTCAGTCGGCGAGGCCCCGGGAGGGCGAGGCCTGAGCCGGAGTCGCCCAGGGAGGGGGTGGCAGCGCGGCCCTGACCGGCAGCCCGGACATCAGAGCGCCAGCGGGGGTCCAGCTTCTTGGGGTGCATGTTCCAGGGTGGAGAGGTGGATAAGCTGAGGAGGGACAAAAAGCCAACTAAATTACAGCTGACCCTTGAACCACACGCAGTCAAAAATCCCCGTATGACTTTTTGATTCCCCCAAAACTTAAAGTCGTCCCTCGGTATTCCCCAGAGATTGCTTCCAGGACCCCCGCAGATACCAAGATCCACCGATGCTCAAGTCCGCTGTGTGAAATGTCATAGGTCAGTGAATACGCTCAGCCCCCTGCATCCGTGGACTCCCAGCCATGGGTCAAGAACAGCACAGGCATTTATGGAACAAAAATCTGCATATAAGTGGACCCGCAGAGTTTAAACCAGTGTCCTTTAAGGGTCAGCTGCACACGTGCACACACCTTCAAGATCAGCTCTGGCTTACAGGTTAACAGCATCATGAAAAGAGGACTTTCCTCTCCCACTGTCACGGAGCTTTCCTGACAGCACGAGGCCAGCTAACTAGCCGCCGGGCCCCTTCCTCAGCGCTCGGTCTGGGCCCCGGCCAGCTGTTCACCCACAGCAGCTCCTAAGTTTGTGGATTCCCAGTTCTTCCAGAACAGGGAAGGAAGAGCGAGTGCATGCGTGTGATACTTTAAATACATGAAACATAAGATAGATATATGAACATATACATGACATGACATATGTAATCTTATTTTTTACATCCACTTCAAAAGATTGCCTTTGTTTAATGTTTCCTCTAACCCGTTCACTTTTTTTAAAGGCAACTCAGTCTTGCGCTTCTGGTTACAGTCGGCACGGTCGACTGTTCAACTAAAGTGGAGGCTGATGACCTGGAATCCAGGGACCCCAGCCCGTGAGGGGCCTTGGGACCCTTGAAAGCCCTTCAGCTGTGTGAGCGGTCGCAGGTTCGTCCATGCTGCACACCTGGGGACAGGGTCCCAGGTGCACGCGTCCCCGCGCCCTCCCGCCCTGGGGCACTTTGCACCCCTCCTGTGCCAAACGCTCCTCGCAGCAGCTCCCAGCGTCCTCACGTGCCGCTGGACACAAGGTTGTCCTTGTTGCAGAGAGAGGGAACCGAGCCTCCCGCAGTGCCCAGTGATTAGGAGCAGCTGTTCTAAGACCAGAAAGGGTCAGCGCGGCCTGAGAGAGGGGCTCGGCCTAAATTCCGGGGGAGTGGTGGACGTCCTAGCAGAGTCTAGCTCCGAAATCTCACCTGGTGAGTGGAGGCAGCTGCCTGGAGTGATGGTGTGAGTTTCGTTTCCCTGTTCGGTGTCAGGGCTGGGTTCACCTCTGTGACTTGTCCTCCACAGACTTTCCTCAGAGCTGAGAAAGACAGTGCCCTTTCTTGTGGCTCATCAGCGTGGGGGCCGAGGTCTGCCTCCATGGAAAGTCCCTTGAAAGTTCCCAAATCTCTCTCTCTATAGAGAGAGATTTCTTTTTTCCCAGTTTTTGAAATAGGAGTGTGTCCAAACAGATGTTTGACTATTCATCCCATGGTGGGCTGCCTCTTAGGTGGGTTTAATTTTAGCGCGGGCTGCTGTCACGTTCATTTGCATGTGTTGAAGGAGCAGCTGGGATGCCTGCCGCGTTGGTAGGATTCGGGCTAAATTAAAGCGCCCAGCGTCGGTTGGATGCCTGGAACTGAACCAGTGTGCTGTCCTCAGAGTGTAGGCTTTAGAAGAACCCTTCTTAGTGAGCGTCCCGTGAAGATCAAGAGATCAAGTTACCTCGTTTGAGCCTCCCCTGCCCCAATCCACCTGATGAAGAGCCTTATAAAGCAGCTGACCTTCCTACATAGAGGCCCCGTTTTTCGGTCTCTGCGGCGTCTCCCTTTGGGTGGGCCTGTGGAAATGCTCGCCCAGCAGGACCCAGTCTGCACTCGTGAAGAAATCCCAAACTCAACGACGCTCTTAATTCCGTGGCCTTTATCACTTGTGAGATGGTGTAACGTGACTCCCTCGGTCACTGGGGATTACGCACAATGTTCACAAGGGCTGGTCTCTCGTCTCCTGAGACCTTGTCCAGCAGCCACCTTGGCGAGGCCTCCCTTCACTCCACGGAGGGCGGCCCCCGGCCCCCATCCCCGCGTTCTCCACCCCTCTTCCCTGCTTGGGTTCTCTCCACAGTCCATCGCCACCTACACACCATGTGTTTTCCCTGTTTCTATGTCCATCCTCCTTTACGCGCTGGAACGGTGAGCTGCGACATCCAGGGCTGTTGTCGGGACAACAGCTGGCACCCGCTCAGTCACTGAACGCCGGCTGCACAGCGAGGCGCTTCCGCGCGGGGCCTGGCACCCGGTGAGTGCCCAGCAGCTCGGTCATAACGCTGAGAGAGACGACAGAATGAAGGAGACTGAGCAGTGATGCCCAAGCAGCGGAGGCCCTGGGACCTCCGCGGTGAACCACAAATACCCTCGCTGTGCGTGTCCTGCCAGGACTGGGAGGCAGTGCCGCGACCGTCCTCCCTTATTGTCTGTCCTTAGGCTACGTGCAAGGAATCGGGGTTCTGAGCCCTGAAAAAGCAAAACCAAACAAAGGAGTACATTTTGGGGCTATGTTTTATTTACCCTTTTACATGTATAAAAAAATTCTGCCAAGAGAAAATATTTGCAGGAAGCAGGAAGCTTGGAAGCACCCGCCATGTCCTAGTGGCTGTGACCTTCAGAAAACACTAGGCTCTCAGAAATTGTCGAGATGGTGGCCCCTCGCATTCCTGAAAGTACAGTTTCTCAATTAAAGAAAAGAAATGCTTCTCTGCCTCCTTTAATGTTACTTGAAGTTTCAAATAAATTATCAAGACTGAAAGCAGATCAAGTCTATCGGCATTTGAAGGTGCTTTTCACACTCCCTGTTTCGTCTCCCTCCGATGTTGGGAAGCCATTGACCTTGCCCTGGCAGGAGGTCAAGGACAGACTGCGACGCCCTCTGCAGGCAGGGCCGGCACGCTGTGCACGTGGGCCGGGCACAGACTGCGTGCGGCCCGAGGTTTGTGCCTGCCACGGGGGAGCCATGGAGTCACTACCTCCTGTGAGACAGGCAGGCTGTGAGCGGAGCAGGTGTCGGGGACACACAGGAATGAAGTTCGGACATGCTGAGCACCCAGTGCACGCGGACCTGTTCTGCATGTGATCGAGGGTTGTCTGGTGTTCAGGAGAAAGACCTTGGGAAGGGTGTGAATTTGGGGGTGTTGTGTGTACGGGTGGTGTTTAACCCCATGAGACTGGACACCACCCCCAAGGCCTGAGGACTGAGCTCTGGCCAAATCCAGCCCCGAGGCCCTCGTCCAGGCCTTTACGCCAAGGCCAGTACGTAGGGCCAGCCTCATGCTGACCGTCGCCCATGACTGCATGCAGGCCCCCGGCCCCAGAGGAGGAAGACTGTCTCACTATTCTCTCCGGGGTTGGGGGAGGGGTGGTGGAACGGCGGCATTTAAAGCTGAGATTGCTTTCCTGCGAAAACCTTCCCGGAACCCAACTCAGAAGGCTTCGTGGGTTATGTTTTGCTTCGTTTTTGTTTTTGCCCAAAAGTGCATTTGACAGGAAGGTGAAGTAAAAAGATTGAGTGGAACCTGGGAAGTTGATGGAATATTATTCTGTCTGCTGGGGAAAGCGTGAGGTGGTTTACCTTCAAATTGTTTATGTAAGTAAAATCAAATAAACCTTAGCGGGGAAAACGTTACCTTGTTTTCTTCTTTCTCCATCAGCCGAGCACCATTCCTTTTCATTTATTTATTTAGTCCCTTCACAATGAGAACCGCTTGGTAAGAGAACAGATCTTATTCAGGTTTCAGAAGTTAAATTATTAGAAAGTTTCTGCCTGCGTTGCCACCTTCCCTTTCATCACAAAATTAAACATGAAGTGTTCTGGAACATTTTTCTGTCTGAAGCTGAAATATTGCCCCTGAGAACAAGGC